TTACCATTCGTAGCCATGTTGACTCAAGATGGCGCGATCAGGGCAGGTGTCTGGTCCCATGCGGCTGGTCCTAGCCGTCGCGTCACGTCTTGGGTCAGGAATCGGCCAAGGTTTCCGCGAGGCCGATGTGTATCGCTTGCCGCTCTTCCAGCGTGCATGGCAGGGTTCGGTGCCTGTTCTAAGTGCCATGCCACGCACGGTTTTCGGGCGGTGTGCGGAAGTCGAACAAGGTGTAGGCTCGCCGACACAAGGGATCGGGCTCCGACGGCACTGGCAGAGAAGCAGGTCCATTCGTCGGGCCAGGAGCCAAGGGATATTTGCTATGTTGTTGCTGAGGTGCCTTGTCGCTCGCCTAGTGTGCATAGCTCTGACTCGGTACCCTGGTGCATAGCCTCTCGCTCGGCATACCTTTCCTTGCGTGTCGCCTAGTGTCTGCTGCCAGCCTCCGCTATGGGGGGCTGAACCGTGGGCGCAAGTGGCTTGCAACCGACGCTCGGGTTCGGGCCCCGCGCCATCGCAGAGGAAAGAGGTCCAGTGTGTGGCATTGTGCCGTGGGGACTGTGATGCTCTGCTTTGGTTTCCACAATCCGCGCGCCGCAAGACGTGACTCTGCATGCCGCCGTCTGCGAGTTGTGGTCGGTAGGCCCTAGCCGTGGCATGCACTCCGTTCCATGTAGCTGCGCTGGCGCGTTGCAGCTTGGCTGCGTACCAGCCCACCTGTCGTTGCATCGCCCGCGTGCCATGGCGGAGGCCCAATTGAGAGGGTAGGTGGCTCCACCGACACTCTGGCTCGCCTCCGAACGCAACCACGGAAAATAGTGTCCATCGAGTGGCCTGGTGCCATATGGGAATGTGCGGCCCTGCTTTGGCGCGTGTGTGCTTCTGTTGCGGGCTGAATCGCCGTGACTGCTCGGATGCCTTGTCACACCTTGCTTCGGCCTGGGCGGTGGGCGGTTGCTAAGCATTCGGGTGGATCTGCGAGTGTCTTGAGCACGAGACCGTGCGTTGCCGCCGCAGGGCCACATGGAAACTCCTCGGTCCACGGGGCAGTATCAGCTGGGAGCTCCTGACCTCCTTAGACGCGTGGATCATCAGCATCAGCAGCAGCATCATCATCATCAGAATCAACATCAGCATCGGCATCATGATCAGCCGCATCAGCATCATCATCATCATCATCATCATCATCATCATCATCATCATCATCATCATCATCATCATCATCCTCATCCTCATCCTCATCATCATCATCATCATCATCATCATCACCATCACCATCATCATCATCATCAGCAACAGCATCAGCATCAGCATCAGCATCATAAGCAGCAGCAGCAGCAGTAGCAGCATGATCAGCATCATCATCATCATCATCATCATCATCATCATCATCATCAGCATCATCATCATCAGCATCATCATCAGCATCATCATCATCAACACCAACATCAGCATCATCATCAGCATCATCATCAGCAGCAGCAGCAGCATCATCAGCATCAGCAGCATCATCAGCATCAGCATCGTCATCATCATCATCGTCATCATCATCACCACCACCACCATCATCATCATCACCATCATCATCAGAATCATCACCACCATCGGCATCGTCACCATCAGCATCACCACAATCATCATTATCAAACACAGCATTGTTAACTAGCATCATCACCATCAGCAGCACCACAACAGCCATCAGCATCACCACCAGCATCACCATCCTCATCAGCATCGTCAGCATCATCAGCATCAGCATCATCAGCATCATCAGCATCAGCATCCTCATCATCATAATCAGCATAATCAGCATCAGCAGCATCATAGTCAGCATCATCATCAGCATCATCAACAACATCAGCATCATCACCAGCATAATCAGTATCATCAACATCATCATTATCATCGTCGTCGTCATCGTCATATTTATCGTCATGAACAGCATCATCATCATCATCATCATCATCATCATCATCATCATCAGCAGCATTATCATCGTCATAGTCATCGTCATCATCATCGGCATCATCATCAGCATTATCATCAGCATCATGCTCATCATCAGCATCATCGTCATCAACAACATCGTCATCATCAGCATCGCCATCATCAGCATCATCAGCATCATCAACAGCAGCGGCAGCAGCATCATCATCAGCATCATCACCACCACCATCGTCATCAGCATCAGCAGCATTACCATCACCATCATCAGCATCATCGTCATCAGCGTCATCAACATCAGCATCATCATGTGCATCATCATCAGCAGCATCAATCTTCAGCATCATGATCAGCATCACCATCCTCATCATCATCGTCATCATCAGCAGCAGCGTAATCATAATCATTATCATGATCATCACCATCATCATCAGCAGCAACAGCATCATCATCATCAGCATCATCATCATCAGCATCAGCATCATCATCATCATCAGCATCAGCATCAGCATCAGCATCATCATCGTCGTCGTCATCCTTCGAGGCCCAGGCAGTCCTTGGCCTTCTGGGCGGGCTGCTTGCCCTTTCGCATCGAGGCAGCAGACTTCTTTGACGCCGGCGACGGGGTGTGCTCGTCATTCGCGTCTGCCTCAGGCATACCGAGGGAGGCGCCGGCCAGCATGGGGACCAATGGCCCGCACTCTCCCCGCGACCGTCTTCATCGTATTCATCGTACCTTCTCCTTCTCCTCCTTCCTCCTCCTCCTCGTCCTCCTCCTCTTCCTCCTCCTCCACCATCAACGCATACTGCTCAGTCTCCCCAACTCCTTCTCCCTGCACAGCACAACCTCTGCCTCCTCATCCTCCTCCTCTTCCTCCTCCTCCTCCTCCTCCTCCTCCTCCTCCTCTCCTCCTCCTCCTCCTCCCCCTCCCTCCTCCTCCTCCCCTCCTCCTCCTCCTCCTCCTCCTCCTCCTCCTCCTCCTCCTCCTCCTCCCTCCTCCTCCTCCCTCCTCCTCCCTCCTCCCTCCTCCCTCCTCCCCTCCCTCCTCCATCGTCCTTCCCTCCTCCCTCCTCCTCCTCCTCTCCTCCTCCTCCTCCTCCTCCTCCTCCTCCTCCTCCTCCTGATCGTCCTCCTCGTCATCCTAGTCCTCCACCTCCTCCTCCTTCTCCTCGTCCTCCTCCTCCTCACCTCCTCCTCCTCTCCTCCTCCTCCTCCTCCTCCTCCTCCTCCTCCTCCTCCTCCTCCTCCCCCCCTCCCTCCTGATCCTCCTCCTCCTCCTCCTCCTCCTCCTCCTCCTCCTCCTCCTCCTCCTCCTCCTCCACCAGCACCCCCCAACAGCCCCCTGTCCTCCAGGTCATGCCAGCCCCCCCCCCCAAACTTGAACACCTGGACTCTCGGCAGACCTGCGCCGCCCACGAGTGCATCCAGAGCGGGTAACGGGCGCTCGCGGTCGGTGCGCGCGAGGGAGGGCCCGCGAGGGGTACCGCCGTGCGACCGCTTAGCCCTCAACCTAACTACCTACCAGAGCACCCCAACCTAACCCGAAGACCCGAATTTCGGGTGGGGGGGGTGCGGCTTCCATATGTGTTTTCTCAATGTTCCCCGACCCTCCCGACCCGGGCCCCACTGGAAATGGACGGCAAATGGAGGCCTTCGGGTTGGGTTAGGGTGGTCTGGTGGGTGGTGACAACCCAAACTTCGTCTATGTACCAGGGCCTGCTTCACGAAGCCAGGCTTGATTCAGGCCGGCAGAAGTGTCTGGATAGGAGCCGGCCTCTGGTCGGTAGCTGCCGCCACCCACGTCACCCCCCAACGCCATCACCCCAACCACCTCTAAGGCCTTGTGAAGATAGATGAAGGGGGAAGGTGGGGGCGTCGTTCAGCTCCAGGCCTACAGCACGACACGATATAAGGTTCAGAAATCCTCTGGTCGGCCTTGTGCGGTGAGCCTTTGGTTTGGACCTCCTGCCTGACAACGTCGCGGCGTGTCTCAACGGAGAGTGGTCTTAACAAAGCGTGCGAAGAAGCTGTCTTAACAGACCGTGCACAAGTGCACCCGCTTCTAGCGGTGGAAAACGATAATATATCCTCTGGTGTCTGACCTCACAGCAAAGAGGGAACAACATGATATTGGCATGCAACTTCTGCCTGGTGTCTGCGAACAACGGTCACACAACGTGTTGGTTCGTTTGTGCAAAACTGCTCCTACATGCACGCGCGCTCCAATTATGAGAACGTCACCTGGATGGCCAGGTTTAGCCGTGTCCCACTTGCCCCGGAAAGGTCACCTTTGAGCAGCTTGCGAAGCTAAGACGACTGCATGTGCTTGCATGGTAACACGAGCTTCGGATAACGTCTGCCTGTGGAAAGTCCCCCACACGAGCAGCAGAAAAAGCACAGTGAGACTGCTACCGAGAATTGTACAATACTGCATATGGTGATTCGATTCGCGGGCTGCGGCGGCTATCTCACGAAGCTTGTTTTGCCCACGCTGACTACTTTGAAACAGAGTCGGCATCTGAACGATGTGCCTGACCAAACAGGGTCAGGCACCTTTCCAAAAATGGAGCGCGTCGTTTTCAACATGTAGCTATCGCCTCAGCGCCACGCACGTTCGTCTTAACAGTTTTTAACAGTTTCACAAATCGAGGGCGGGCTGCTTTCAAAATGTGGCTCTCGCTTCGGCGCCGCGCACATTCGTCCTAACAGTTTGCAGCGGCTTCATAAATGGAAGGCGGGTGATTTTCGAAGTGTGGCTCTCGCCTCAGCGCCGCGCACATTTGTCATAACCAGCTTCACGGATGAAGAGCGGTTCCTTTTCGAAAGGTGGCTCTCGCCATCGCGCCGCGCACAGTCGTCTTGAATGTTGACAACAGACTCAAGGATACGCATGGTCAACGGCCCAGGAATGGTGTTCTGGCGCGGATCTAGGATTACCAGAAATAAACAGTCACATTGATTCGTGGTGTCGAAGTCCACAGAATGGCGTTCTGGAACGAATTAGGATTGTCAGGACGTTGATTCGTGGCGTGAAGTCCCAAGAATGGTGTGTTGGTACGATTGGGGATTCTGAGGCGGTTGTCTTCCAACAGGGCTCTTCCCGCAGTGAGAACTAATTCTGGTAGGGACCTATGAAGAAGAACTCGGAGGGAGGGCTCATTGCATCATTGTTCACACGTCTTGGGGGGGTTACACGGGTTCTCCTCCTCCCTCTCCTCCTTCCTCATCCTCCTTTTTACTTCATGCATTGACCCGGGAGGCGAAAGGGGAGCGGCCGTCCCGAGCAGGGGCACGGAGAAGCCTTGGCGAACATAGACTGGATCGTCCCCGGCGGAGGCGAGCCGGGCTGCCCGTCCACACCAGCGGCGCGCGCAACCTGCATGCCTTTAGGGGCCGAGGGTGGAGGAGGGAAACGGGGGAGGAAGGGAGGGAGGGAGGCAGGGAGGAGGGGAGGGGGAGGGGGAGGGGGAGGAGGAGGAGGAGGAGGAGGAGGAGGAGGAGGAGGAGGAGGAGGAGGAGGAGGAGGAGGAGGAGGAGGAGGAGGACGAGGAGGAGGAGGAGGAGGAAAAAGAGGAGGAAGAGGAGCAGGAGGGAGAAGGAGGAGGAGGAGGAGGAGGAGGAGGGAGGAGGAGGGGGGAGGGGGGAGGAGGAGGCTGGCTGGGTCTTCACCGACGTCGGCCTCCGCGGGCCAGGGTCGGGCCCGGAGACCGCGAGAGAAACGGCGGCGAAAGCAAGCAACCACCACGACGACCACGACAACAGAGGCCTCCTAGATGGGGTCGGAGCAGATGGGGTCGAAGGATCGCGCCGCATCGCCAGTGCATCGCCGATGTATCGGCGATGCAGCGGCGATGTATCGGCGACGTCGGCGACGCATCCGCGACGTCGGCGTGGGGAAAGTCGGGCTCCACATCGAGCCGCATCGGCGATGCATCGGCGGTGCGGCGCGGTCCTCCGATCCATTCTGCTCCGACCCCATCTGGGAGGCCTAGAGACAACCAAGACGACGACAACACGATGAGGGGGGCCGTCAGACCATGCCACGCAACACAGGAAGATCAGGGCGTCGTGCCCTTTCGCCGTTGTCGGCCCCTGGAGACCAAGCTCTTCGGGCCCTCTGGCTGTCGAAACCACCACAGACCAACTCCCGGGGGAATTGAAGGGGCCCCAAGACACACAAATATAAATACACACAAATAAAAAGATTCCCCATATCTTCCTACATTTTCTGGGTTTTCGTCTTCCCCCCCACTTCCCATATCTTCCCATATTTTCTGGGGGATCGACGATGAATTGTGTCTGTGTGTTTTTGTTCCCTCCCGGGGGAATTGGCGTCGAGAAGTCCCCGGGCTCGCGCCACGGAGCATCGCCCCCTGGGGGCGAGGAGGGACCACCAGCTTCCAGCTCGTCCCCCTCTCTCTACAGAGATCTTAGGGGGGCGCCCTCTCGCCATCGCTCGGACGTCCATTCCCTGTGTTTCTGTTCGGTTTCGTGCGTGGTTTCTTCGCCAAGTGATCACAAGGATGCTCCTCGGTGGCCCTCGCCGAAGGACAAATGCACACGTCCGAGCGACGCCAAGGCCCTCGGAAACGATGGGGAACCGATGAGGTCAGCACCGAGTCAGGGCGATGCCAAGCTCAGGGATAAGGGGGACGTGCTCCGGGCAGGCGGGGAGAAGAAGGAGGGCACGCCGAGCAGCTGTTTCGGGGATGGAGAGTCCCCCTGTAGCAAAACGCGGTTTAGGGAAAACGACCTGAGGCCCAAACCTGGCGGGCGCAAGCATGGAAAATAGCGGCCACGGCGCCCTCTCGAGAACCGAAAACGGACAATTCACGAATCGACGTGTCACTGCTGGGGGTTCTGTCCACCCCCGAAGCTGATTCGACATCACCAAGCCCCCACGTGCCCATCCTGGGCCCAACATCGCGGAGGGCGCGGCCTCCGAAACTGGCCGGGAGCCGAACGTCCACCAGGAACAGGGCCCGCATCAGGCCTGTCTGGGACACCTTCGTTCCCTCTTCGAGGGGGGAAGAGGAAAAAGAGGGAGGCTTTATATGCAGGGCGCGATAAAGGAGGAGGGGGACAAACAGCAGGGCAACTGAGACGACGACGACGACGACGACGACGACGACGACGACGACGACGACGACGACGAATCGACGACGACGACGACGACGACGACGACGGCGACGAATCGACGATGACGACGACGACGACGACGACGACGACGACGACGACGACGACGACGACGACGACGACGAAACGACGACGCCGACGACGACGACGAATCGACGACGACGACGACGACGAAACGACGACGACGACGACGACGACGATGGCGACGACGACGGCAGCGCGCCTGCATCCACGTCCATGGCGCCGCCCGCGGCCCGGCACGCGCGCCCCGCCCTCTGAGAGGCGCCGCCGCCACACAGGCCACCGGCGTGCCCTGCCAACACGGGCGGGCAACGGCGACCTATTTCGCTACACCGGTCGGCCGCGAGCTCCTCCAGAGTGATCCCCCTTTTCCTCCTCCTCCTCCTCCTCCTTCTCCTGCGCAAGACATTGCGCGCCCAAGATCTTCCGACGAGCAACCGGAGGCAAAGCCGAACGAGTTAGGGCACGGGCTCAGTGGCCAGCACTCTGAGGACTCGAGAGGAAGCCGCTGCGGTGTGCCTGTGCTCTCTGCGTCTGAGCTTGTCCCAAATCTCCCTGGCCCAGGCAAGAAGACTCCCTGAGCAACAGGAAGACAGACTGGAGAGGCGAGACGACGAGATGACACCACAGCGAGAGCAACCGACCAGGACGACATTGTCCTGGAGAGAATTTGACCAGAGCGCGAGGCCTCTCACCCTTAGCACTGAGGGCCTGGGGCGCTCTGACTGCACGCGAAACAATGTCCTGGGGTCTCCTGCACTATCAAGAGCTTTAGGGTGGGGGGCTTGCCACGCTGGAGCGAAGGAGGGCGGGAGGAGTCGGGAAGGCCCTCACCCACCTTGCCCGCCCACTTCACCCAGGACTTCAAAACCTTGATTCTGGAAGCGACGGCGGCAGATTGCGGCGGCGGCACACGGACGGCCTGGGCCGCCCACTTGGCGTGGCGGTCGGCCATGTCGTTGCCGAACTTGTCACGAGTCGTGACGCGCCCCGATCGGGCGTCCGCGCTCGAGGAGTGGGCAGGCACCTTCACGAAACGAACCGCCTCACAAAACTCAGAACCGTCAAAACCCCTATCCTCGAGCCTGGCCCGCACCTCGCGCCAGAGAAAACAGCGCGCGTCTAACGCGTGAAATGCGTGCACACGGCCTCTGGACAGCACACCGTCGAAGACATATTTAGAGCCGGCGCGCAGAACGAGGGGCGGACACGCATGCTTGAGACACTCTGGCAGAGCCGTCAACTCTGCCTCATCGACGGTGGGAAACTCAGAGAAAAGCGGGCCACACATCAGAGCAGAGACCTCGCGGAGGGCGCGGGCGCCTCTGGACAGAGCAACTACAGCCCAGCCTCCAGAGGCGCAGGGCCCCATGCCCCCTTCAAAAATCGAGCCATCCAGGAAGACGTCTCCCGCGAGCCGATCAGGGGACCCGTGGACCCAGAGCAGAGGAGGGAGGTCAGGAAAGGAGGGTCTCTCCAAAAACGGCATCGGTGCTAAACATCTCTCGGCGAGCAGCTGCGGGAGACCTCCGTTACTCGCGGCTTCGCCGAGAGACTGACACAAGACATGCGGCTCTTCAAACTGCAGGGCGTGCTGCGCGCAGCTGCAGTGTCTGTGCGCGGGCGTGCCTAGCTCGATGGAGCCAGCGGCGAGGCAGGCTATGCAGCTGGTGTCCACGGGGTAGCCAGCTTTCCACTGCCTCGTCATTGGCCACTGTGCTCCAATCACGACCGAGCGCACGTACGCACGGTGCTGCGGCAGTGCCTTGGAGCGCAAGGAGGCTGAGATGGGAGCTAGGAGCACGCCATCACAAAATTCGGGTACTTCAACATGCTCGGCTATCTTCGCGCACTGCCAAAGGTACACAGCTCGCAGTACATGCTGCTTGACTACATACGGGCAGGACTCAGAAATATTCAGGACTCGACCTTCAGGAAAACCCCAGAGATCCAGGGAACGAGCTCGAACTCCAACCCGATGTAGAGCAGCCCAGAGAGTGGTGAAAGGTCCTGCTATGGAGCCCCAGGGGTACTTCAAGAGGCTGAGGCGGGCATCAACTTGCCTGAGACTCGCATCTAAGACCTGTCGGGGCATCCAAGATTCATGTAGTCATAGCAGGACGAACTTAACGGACAACCAAGTGGCCCCGATGATGGGATCGAGGTCCTTGGTGGGCGCCAACATGAGGGAGAGAGTGGGGCTCTTACCCGCTTGCTTATGATCCTGAAGTGCGCCTGCTAAACTGCGGAGCGTGTTGGGCTCCTTGTTGTTGACTCCAGTGACGGCCGTGCCAAAAAAGGTGGCGCCCTCGAGCGCCGCTCGACTCATCTGCCCTAGTAGCTTCCTTCGGGGCCGTCCTGACTTCAAAACAGACATGCGAGCTCGACGTTTCTTGGTGGCCTTGAATCGAGCAGCCGCGGTGCACCTAGGACGCACTTTGCCAGAAGCGCAGTCGACCCCCAGGTTGCGCTCGGCGACAGCGGCCAGAATCCCAAGATGCCGAAGGTTGCGAGCGAGACGAAGCCGAAGTTTCTGCGAATTGCTTAGCACCCTGCCTTATCAACTGCGAGCTGCATGTCAACTTTGTGCAATTCAGAAACAAGTGTCGCGGCGGACTGCTGGAGCTCGTCTCCCACGCGCTCCTCGCCACCGAAGCGTCGGGTGGAGAAGTCATCCACGTTGACGGCTAAAACAACGGAGCGATGCGCCGCTTGGACTCTATCAAGGGGACCGAGCAGCAGCAATTGTAGCATCAGTGCAGCAAGCGTGCAACCTGGCACCACCGTTTGCTGCACCTCAATGTAGTCACTGCAGACCCCTTGAAGATCCAACACACGTGGCGCACGGTAAACGTCTATCAAAAGGCGAAGCTGCCAGAGCGGGAAGTGTGTGTTTATGGCAGCCTGCAACAGATGATGATGCTGCACATACTCGAAGGCTTTCTTGAAATCGAGGAGTATAGTCCCTGAACAGTGTCCCCGCATAGTGCAGCACTCAGACCAGGCACTGGATATCCAAACAATTCTCCGCAGAGCGCCCCTTGGTAGACCACCAAAAGTGTCGGAAGTTCCGCTTCTGCCACGCACTGATCAACGGCCGACGAAGACGACACTGTAGACGGCAAAGCACGCGCAGCAATCCCAGAGGTCGCACACCTCCGGGGCGTTTCATGGTAAAAACGATTCTGCTGCACATACGCGACCAGACCAAGTGCTGCTCTATGTGCGCCATGATGCCACAGAGCAACTCGAGCGCCACATCAGGGAGCAGGAGGAAGTTCCCGGGGCTGACCTGATCGAAGCCTGAACCAGTTTTGGTGGGGAAGGTGCGAATGACAGCTTTATGCTGGTCGGGCGTAGGGGGCTCGGGTCGGTGCCCCAGGAAATCGGGCCAAACCAGGGGCTGCTTTTGAGTGTGCACTTTCCACCATCCTTCCCATTCCTTTTGCAACATATCAACTTCCTCCTGCATGTTGGCCGGTCTGACCGCGCAGTGGCCCATGCAGTTCGGCCGCCAGCCGATCGGAAGAGCAGAGAAGGAGAAGAGCGCGGAGGCACCGTTGACGGAGTGGGTATCTATCCATTCACGCCATTGCTGCTCCTTTCGCCTAGAAGACTGTTGATGTTGATATTGTGATGCTTGATCTGCCCAGGAACGTAACATAATCACCAGATCTCCAGACACCTGAGTAGTGTTGTCCAAGATGTTGGCCCAGGAGATGTAGAGGTCCTCTTGGGGCAACACATGGGACTTGGAGAGCTTGTGGAGCCTGTTGATGCTAGACGCCCAAGCCTGCTGCTTCTCCGAATTGTTCCTGAGTGCGGACCAGATCCGCTAGAGCGAACGAAACATGCTTCCACCAAACCGCGAGCACGGAAAGCCTGGGAAAACGGACGGGCCCAGGTCGACGAACGGACTGGAAGCGAGGCTTGAGCGGCACCACCCGCCCACAATACTTGTCAGCCTCCTCAGGGGGAAGCTGAAACACGCGAACCCACTCAATCTCAGCAGCGGCAGTAAAGGCATCCCACTTGGCATCTATGGCGTCAGCGTTTGAAATAACTGCTGCAGCGCCCTCCCAAAGCTCAGACTGGGGCTCCGAGACACAGCCGACAGGCCGCATGACAGGGAACTCGCGAAGGCACCTGGATCATACGAACTTGCACGTCACTTGACACTGCAGCCATGCGCAATAGCACTGGTGAGTGAGGTGAGGTAGGGATGTCATCAAGGACCTTAATGCTATGGGTGCCCAGGAGGTTAGAGGAGACAACGAAGATATCTACGGTGCGTCCAGCGGGCGCACATGTTCCCGCCGCAGGCGCAACAATCTCTGCATCGAGCGCGCGCGTCCAGCCCACAGCTTCCAGCTGCGTCGGCTCGATCTGCCAATCACCTGCAATCACAAAGGGAAGATGAGCCGCTTTGAGTGCAGAGCCAAGCTTGGTGAGAATACTCCAGTTGAAATCAGCGAGATTGCCACCGCCCTTCAGGTAGATATTTCCCCAGAGAAACCCCCTTTGACCATGCCTCCTACGTGAAGAAGCGAACAGCGCCCAGGCAATATCTCAAAGATAGATGCCTCCAGGAGAGCCAGACCGATACGTTCGGGAACCATCGAGACCAGCCCTCCAGAGGTGCCCCTATTGCGCGCGGGAACCGCGGGCAAAAACTTAGCAGACCACCCATCACGACGTAATGAGGCCCTGGTGTAATCTAGATCAAAAACTTTGTGGGACTCTTGAACGCACAACACGTCAAAACCAGAGAAGCCACTCAAAACTTTCTCAAGACTGGAATACTCGGTGACGTTGGAGGTCCCCAGGATCCAATCTCGAGTCTTTCGGTGTGAGGTAGGGCTAGGAGCTCGCCACAGGAGCCCGTGGTGAGCGAGAACCAGAGCCTTCACGCCTACGCTCGGGCACCGCAGCCGGCTTGCAAGCCCGCCTAACAGTGCGCCCTGCGCTGGCGAGCACGTCGTTGAGCACCGCCTGCACCTGCTCGGGCTGGGCTCCGTTGTGCGGGGCGATGGTGTCCACCATGGCAGTGTTGGACAGGGACGCGATGATGCCGTGCTCGACAGACGCCGCCTTGCGCGCCTCGTCAGCCCAGCTGTCACCGAAGTCCACGTCGTCGTCACCGCGTGGTGTGTCAGCTTCGCTCTCTTGATCAGATACCTCCTGAACTGGAGCTGCTCTGGCCATGTCACCTGGTAGCACCAGAGTCGCCACGGCTGGCGGTGGTGCGGCGGCAACGCGCTGCGCAGCCTGCTGGTGCTCGGCCTGCGCCTTGGCGGTGAACAGCTGGTTGAACTGCATGGCCAGGCTGGGGTCGAGCTGCTGGAAGCGCTGGAACATGATGCGTTCCGGTGCTTCAGCTTCACCCTGTGGCACTTCACCTGCAATCTGAATCCAGGCCTGCCTCGAGCGGTCAGCAACCTGGCGTTCTTGCTCCTGCAGGCTCTTCTGCTCCAGGCGCAGCTCCACAACGCGCTGCAGCTGCTTCTGGAAGACGATGGCTGCCTTGGACAACTTGTTATCAACAGCGGCCAGCTTGGCCTTGAGCTGCCCGTGCTCCTGCTGCGCCGCCTTGGAGAGTGCGTGTGGGTCCCCACTGCGCTGGGCACGCACAGCTGCCACTTGAGCGCACTGGCTGTGGGTGAGCAGCAGCGCGGTGTAGGCGTAGTGCTCCTCGGACATGGCGGCGAAGGCATCCACCCGCTGACCGTCCAAGGGCTTGGTGGCTGCAGTGTTGCTCTTGCTCCCGCCAGTCTTGCCACCACGGCGCCAAGCGCCAACAGCAGCAGACGGCTCAGCGAACTGCACCTTGGGGAGCGGCTTCCAACAGTGCATGCACCACTTGTAGCGATCCAAGTTCTTCTTGCACCCGCAGGAGGTGCACACGACGGGCATGGCTGCGCCGTGTGCGCCGTGGCGGAGGCGCGTGCTGCTGCGACCAGCACGCAGGAAGCGGTGTGCCGCGGGCAAGAACCCCAAGCCGCCTGAGCCAGGCAGGCTACGGAAGGGTCCAAAGCTAATCGCTGATTCTCGGGCGTCTATAGCCCTTCACAACGTTTAGCCTTGAGCCAAAATTTATACGGATCCCTCTTCCTCCTTCTCCTCCTCCTCCTCCTGCTCTTCCCCCTCCTCTTCCTCCTCCTCCTCCTCCTCTCCTCCTCCCCCCCTCCTCCTCATCCTCCTCCTCCTCCTCCTCCTCCTCCTCCTCCTCCTCCTCAACCTCATCCTCATCCTCATCCTCATCCTCATCCTCATCCCCATCCTCATCCTCATCCTCATCCTCATCCTCATCCTCCTCCATTCCTTTTCCTTATGAATAATTTCTCCTGTCGCGCCCCGAAGCCAGTTTTTAGGGCGGGCCGGGCGTTTCGCCTGATACTTCCTCACCATTTACGACTCTGAAGCTTAAAAAGTGGCAACAGCTTCACAGATGGAGGGTGGGCCGTTTTCAAAATGTGGCTCTCGCCTTAGCATCGCGCCCATTCTTTTGAAAAATGTGCAAGAGCTTCACGGATTAAAAGCGGGTGGATTCCTAAATGTGGCTCTCGCCTTAGCGCGGCGCACATTCGTTCAAAAAACTTGCAAGATTTTCACGGATTGAAGCCGGGTGGTTTTCAAAATGTGGTTCTCGCCTTAGCGCGGCGCACATTCGTTCTAAAATTTGCAAGAGCTTGACATATTGAGGGCGCATGGTTTTCAAAATGTGACTCTCGCCTTAGCGCGGCGCACATTCGTTCTAAAAACTTGCAAGAGTTTCACGGATTGAAGCCGGGTCGATTTCCAAATGTGGCTCTCGCCTTAGCGCCGCGCACATTCGCTTTAAAAATGTACAAAAGCTTCACGGATTGAGGGCGCTTACTTTTCAAAATGTGACTCTCGCCTTAGCGCCGCGCACATTCTTTTTCAAAACAAGAGTTTCACGAATTCCAGTGATCAAATTACCAGAAATGGCGCTTTGGAAAGACTCAGGATTATGCAGGTGCAACAGTTAAGTTGATTCGCGGTGTTGACATCCCAAAAATGGCGTTCTGCCACGATTACAGATCGTCACGACGCAGCAGTCAAGCTGATCCGTGGCGTTGAAATCCCGAGACCAATGTTTTGGCATGCTTCGGGGTCTTCAAACGGTCGTGTTTCAACGAGGCAGCTCCCTTTATGGGAATGAACCGTTGTAGGGACCTATGAAGAGGGAGCTTGGAGGGAGGGTTAATTTCAACATCGTTGATGACTCTTGTGTTTACTCTGGTCCTCCTCCTCCTCCTCATCCTCATCCTCCTCCCCGCCCTCCTCGGGCCCTCCAGAATGATCCTCTCCCTCCTCGTGGTTCTTCCTCCTCGCGTCTTCGCCGCCGCCCTCCGCCGCATGCAAAGTTCCATGAAATCCCTTCAGACTGCAAAGAAGAAAAATGGCACGTGCGACGGCCTTCCAACACCTCCTCCTCCTCCTCCTCCTCCGCCTCCTCCTCCTCTATCATCCCGTCTCCTAACAAATAAATCCTACTGTACCTGTCACCCCCTGTCGACAGGCGAACCCCAGAATTCTCCCGGGCCAGACCCGGAATTCCATTCTGGGCGAAACCTGGAATCCACTCCAGAGAAGCCCCGAACGGCCAGGCCAAACTCGGAATCCATTCTGGAGAACCCAGGATTCCCAGCCCAAGCCCGGAATTCTCGGACCGGCGGAACCAAGAACACAACGGGCAACCAAAGCAACCACACTCCGGGCGAAAAAACAATTCAACTGCGCCCGTGTCCCGACGGAGCCTGGATTTTCAAACCCTCCTCCTCTTCTCCTCCCCCAAGAAATATGCGAAAATAATGCTCCCATCCTCTCCTGTAACCTGTAGTCATCTGCCTCCTCCTCCTCCTCCGCCTCTTCGTCGTCGTTGTCGTCTTCGTTCTCGTCGACGACGACAATGGCGATGACAAGGCTTGCAGAGAGAGTGCATCCCAGAAATGTTGATGAGTCTTGGGTTTACTTTGGTCCTCCTCCTCCTCCTCCTCCTCCTCCTCCTCCTCCTCCTCCTCCTCCTCCTCCCCCTCCACCACCGCCACCTCCTTTTCCTCCATTTATTCCTTGAGAATGACTCCTCCCTGTCTCACCCCGAGGCCAGTCGGAAGGGCGGGCCGGGCGTTTCGCTTGTGACTTCCTTACCACTTATGAGCCTGAAGCTTAGAGCTGACGACAGCTTCACAGATGGAGGGCGAGTCGCTTCTAAAATGTGGCTCTCGCCTTCGCGCCGCGGACATTCGTTTTTGAAAAATACAAGAGCTTTACCGATTCAGGGCGGGTCGTTCTGAAAATGTGACTCTCGCCTCACCTCCGCGCACATTCGTTTTTACAGGTTGCAAGAGTTTCACAGATTGAGGGCGAGTGGTTTTCAAAATTGGGCTCTCGCATTAGCGCCGCGCAAATGTTTATGTCGCAGCGCGGCAGAGGCAGTCCGCACGCACGCTCGGGCAAGCCATCCTTAGCGCCGCGCGCACTCGTGTTCAAAATCTGGAAGAGTTTCTCTGATTCAAGGCGGGTCGTTTTCAAGATGTGGCTCTCGCCTTGGCGCCGCGCGCATTCGTCTGTCACGTTTGCAAGAGCTTCACGGATGGAAGGCGGCCATTTTTCAAAATGTGGCTCTCGCCTTAGCACAGCGTATATTCGTTTCAAAAACTCGCATGAGCTCAATTGACTCTCATGGTTGACGAACCAGACATGGTGTTTTTGAGCGATTCGGACCGTCAGGGCGCAACAGTTACGTTGATTCGCGGTGTTGAGGTCCCAGGGATGGTATTCTGGAACGCTTCAGGATCGTCAAGACGCATCGTTCAGGTTGACCCGTCAGGTTGAAGTCCTGAAGCTGGTGTTCTTGCACGCTTCAGGATTTCCACACGGTTGTCTCCGAACGGTGAAGAGGGAGCTTGGAGGGAGGGTGTATTCCGAGCTCGTTGATGAGGTTTGGGCTTACACTGGTCCTCCTACTCCAACTATTCCTTCTCCTTCTCCTCCTCATCATCCTCCTCATCATCAGCATCACCACCACCACCACCATCATCACCACCATCACCACCACCACCACCACCACCACCACCATCATCATCATCATCATCATCATCATCATCATCATCAGCATCATCATCATCATCATCATCATCATCATCAGCAGCAGCAGCATCATCATCATGAATCAGCATCAGCATCATCAGCATCATCAGCACCATCAGCATCATCATCGTCAGCAGCATCATCAGCATCATCAGCATCTTCAGCATCATAATCAGCATCATCAGCATCATCGTAAGCATCAGCATCATCATCATCATCAGCATCATCATCATCAGCATCACCATTATCATCAGCACCACCGCCACCACCACCATCCTCATTGTCCTCAGCATCATCAGCATCATCATCAGCAGCAGCAGCATCAGCATCATTGGCAGCATCATCGTCATCGCCATCATCATCAGCAGCAGCATCATCATAATCGGTATACTCATCATCAACAGCATCAACAATATCGGCAGCAGCATCCGCAGCAGCATCAGCATCATCAGCATCATCCTCATGCTCATCATCATCATCATCATCATCATCATCATCATCAGCATCATCATCAGCATCATCAGCATCAGCATCATCAGCAGCATCAGCATCAGTATCATCACCCGTATCAACATCATTACAATCAGCATCATCGTCATCAGCATCAGCATCATCATCAGCATCATCAGCAGCATCGTGAGCATCGTCAGCAACGTCGTCATCATCATCAGCATCAGCATCATCATAATCAGCATCATCGTCATCAGTAGCATCATCATCAAGCAGCATCATCATCAGCATCACCATCATCAGCATTAACAGCATAACCATCACCACCATTATCATCATCATCATCACCACCACCACCATCATCATCATCATCATCATCATCATCAGCATCATCATCATCATCATCATCATCATCATCATCATCATCATCATCATCATCATCATCATCATCATCATCATCATCATCATTTCCCCCCTCCTCCTCCTCCTCCTCCTCCTCCTCCTCCTCCTCCTCCTCCTCCTCCTCTTTCACCTCCACCTCCTCCTTCTCCTGCTTCTCCTCTTCTCTCCCCCACCCCCCTTTCCTCCGCCACATCACCCCCCATTTGCCCCTCATACCATCCCCATCTGTCCCTCCTCCTCATCCCTCCCCCCTCATCCCCCCCGCATCAGCCCTTGCCTTCCTCCTTCGCCACGTCACCCCCTTCGCCCCCTCCTCTCCGTAACCCCCTGAGATCGGGTTACTCCACCTCCCCGCGACGACCCACGGCAACCACCGCTCACCACGACACGCCGGCGACGCTGCGACGGGCGGCGCCTCCCAGGCCGACGGCGATCCGCGCCGATCCGCGCCCCCCCCCCCTAAGCAGAAGGCTGCGCGGGCGGGCGGACGCGGCAGGGCCCTCCTCCCCAGACGCTCGCGCAGCTTCCCCCGGGCGGGGCGGCGGGGTCGCCCAGCCCACTGCAGATGGCAACTGGCTGCCTCCAGCGCTCGAGGAGAGGGGGTCAATCGTGGGGAGGGGCGACGCGGCGACGCAGATCCTGTCAGATGGAGGAGGAGGAGCAGGAGGAGGAGGAGGTGGAGGTGGTGGAGGAGGAGCAGGAGGAGGAGGTGGAGGAGGAGGAGGAGGAGGAGGAGGTGGAGGTGGTGGCTGAGGAGGAGGAGGAGGAGGAGGAGTAGGCACCTCGCTTCCACGGGCCTCCAGCGCACTGCAAACATCATGACGGAGAGCTTTCGACACTGTCGGCCTGCCGCGGCCCTCGCAGGGCCCCAGGGACCGTCAAACCACAGTCCCAGCCGTTGGGAACCTCTGTTTCTCCTTCTCCGCTCCTCCTCCTCCTCCTCGTCC